ACTATATGGTATTAAATAGCAGCATACCATATGGTATGGACTAGTAAAAAATGATTCAATTTTTTTTTTCGTTCTAAAACTATATCAAAGTGGATATCATTTTAAAGAGCACAATTAATCTGATTTATCTGTGCAAAAAATTTAAATTTCGAATTAAAACGAGAGAGAAATCGTCTGTTAAATATTAAATGACAAAATATAAAAAAATTTCTATGAGAGAGGGATGCTGATGTAGACGATTACTCATGGTTACTCACCATAAAGTTATTTACTTGATCCCTCCCGAAAAAACAACGAAAGAAGAAAGCAGTGGAAGTAATTACCGTGGGGGAAAACGAAAGCTGGGAAGTGAAAATTAGTTTGTCGTAGTCCTTCTGGCTAGAATTAAGAGACTTGAAGCCCATTTCTGTTACCTATACGGGCTTTTAAAGAATTACCCAAAAACCAATCTCGAATCCGCAGTAATAACCCTAATAAAGGTTATAGGTATAATATATCCCTTTACTATGACGTTTTATCAAATATGTCCCTCTACTATTTTTTACATCAAACATGTCCCTGTAATTTGAAAAACTATCAAACATGACCTTCAGTTAAAATTTCCATTGAAAAAAAAAATCGTCAATCATGGTTGAACCGAGATTTAGACGACCTGACATCGATAAATGGGAGGGGAAATGTCAGTTTTGACCCTTGCTTTATTTCTTTAGGTCTCATCAAAGTGAAATTATTAGAATTATTTGGCTGTACAAAAGAACAAAAAAAACTCTAAAGTGAAATTAATAGAGAGATTTTAGATATTTGGGTCGCCCAAACCAAAGTTCGGTCTTGGTTAACGATTTTTGGATGGAAATTTTAACAAAAGGCATGTTTGATAAGTTTTCCAAAGTACAAGGGCATGTTTGATGTAAAAAATAGTAGAAGGGAATGTTTGATAAAACGTCATAGTAGAGGAGCATATTATACCTATAACCCAATAATAATAATGGAATATTTTCATTCCTAATCCTTTCCGTTGCATCGTAGAGAGCTCCATATATATATTTTACATGTGACATGTTAATGTTTTTTTCTCGATTTATATGTGTTGTGTTTAAACAAAGTAATTTTTTTAACGAGTTTATCATTAAGTATTGAGATTTTAATGGATATTTTTTAAGGGCGCAATATGTTGTTTTTAATGTAATATTAGACCAAGTTCTTGTTTTGAAATCTTTTAATGTATATATATCCTACAAATTTGGTTTCAAATGAAATTAATTATCTTGGATGAAAATATCGTAGTCTCCGAACTTCTTGTTGGTATGAAAAAAAAGGTTAGGACGATGTACTTTTTATCCGTTTTATGAAAAGCATAGGGCCCAATTTAGAAAAATCAAGTTTAGTGGCGAAGCCACGCTTATAGCAGGGAGGCTATAGTACTTTTTCAACTCTAAAAGCCTGTAAATTTTCTTAGCATAGTTTTTTAACCTCTCATTGGTTCAAATTTTCTAAGCGTAGAATTTAGCCTTAGTCCAATTTATGGCTTGCTAATGATCAAGTTAATTATCTAAAGATCGATAGTGAGAGAAAATGTTTATACAAAAGTGGGTGCATGTGTATACACATGATGGCAATTAGGTTTGCAAATGAGTCAAGCCGAGTTGAGATTTGTCTAACTTGGACTCGTCTTGTTAATAAACGAGTCTAGTCAAGCTTGAGTCTGGCTCATTTATATACTATGTTAGTATCATGTTATTTAGTTAATAAGTTTTAACTAGTTCATATCATCTTTATTCATAGTAATTAGTACGAGCTTCTTTACCCGCACTCTGCGCTGGGATGAATGGATTAATTAGGTTTACAAATTATGGTTTCCAAATTTTATCAAATAACAAAATCGGCGCATTCATTTTACAACTATAACATACAGTTGATTGTTAATTGATTGTTTCGCTGCAATTATCTTGAGCACTTATGTTATTGACACTTGATAGAGAAGGACAAATATGAATTATGTCATCTTTGAAGTCCCGGTAATTTTAGGTCATGACATAACACTAACCGCCATAATTGATAATCCTAAGATAGGAAAAGTGCATCGTCAAACAAATTTGCTTGACCATTAACATTACAAATATGTAATCAAATTCCCATATATGTATTGAAAATAAAGTTTAATAATAATAACCAATCAAAATATCAGAAATTCCTAGAAGCTAGGAATACGTGGATGGTAGTGTGTTTGGTTATGGAAGTTTGTAGAAAATAATTAATGTGTGTAGTTGGGTAGTTGTATGATTATGGATTAAACAAAGCAAAAAAAAAAAAAAACAAGAACCATATGTTTCAGTCGGTTGTGTTTGGGAGAAGGCCTATAAATAGGCTAAGCTTGTACGTTGGTGATGCAGAGCCAAAAGAGAGAAAGAAGCAAATAAAAAAAATGTTTCCATTCCCTTCTCCAATCCAAGTCCTCTGCCAATCCACTTCTCCCAAAACAAAATAAAACCCTTCCCATTTCAAAGCTCAATAAACGAGCTAACCCCACCAAAAGCCCACCTTTAGCTTTTCAAATCAAAAGGAAATAAATCATTTTATTTCCAACAAAGTGGTATCAGAGCCCGAGTTATTCTTAAGTATGCTCTGTGGTTGCAGCATAGTCTGAACTTCCACATCAAAAAAGAATTTCTCGTGTTTTTGTTATCACAATTTTTCCATGGCCGAAAAATCAAGTTTCCCCATTCAATTCCCCCACCTTACCAAAACCAATTCCAAAAATTGGTGCATCCGTATGAGAGCCTTGCTGGGATCCCAAGATGCTTGGGATATTGTTGAGAAAGGTTACGAGATTCCTGCGGAGGATTCTCGGTTATCTCCTGCTGACAAGGAGGTATTGAGAAAAAAATAAAAAGAGTGATCAAAAGGCACTCACTCTAATTCATCTGTGTCTTGATGAATCGATGTTCGATCAAATAGCAGATGCTACCACGGCAAAGGAAGCATGGGAAATTTTGCAAAAAGAAATGCAAGGCATGGAACCAGTAAAGAAGGTTCGACTTCAGACACTCAGGGGAGATTTTGAAGCAATAAAACTGAAGGAAGGTGAATCTGTTTCATATTACACAGCCCGTGTGAAGTCTATCGCCAGCAAACTGAAGCAGTATGGGGAGAAAATTGAAGAGACCAAAGTGGTGGAGAAAATCCTACGATCGCTATTACCAAAATTTGACTACGTGGTGGTGGCCATGGAGGAACAATTCAGGGCAAGTTTCCCGAAGGAGTCCATGTCAAGAGCTAAAGCACCACTTGAGCTCGTCCATGCAGATCTCTGTGGACCGATCACCCCAACATCGTTCGGAAAGAACAAATATTTTCTATTGTTCATTGACGACTACAATAGAAAGACATGGGTATACTTCTTGAAGCAGAAGTCAGATACATTCGAAGCTTTCAAGAAGTTCAAGATGATGGTGGAGAATGAAAGTGGCCGCTACATCAAAGCTATGAGATCAGATAGAGGGGGAGAATTTATGCTCAAGAAGTTCAGAAGATTCCGTGAATATCAAGGAATTCGCAGGTTTCTTACAGTCCCAAGATCCCCACAGCAAAATGGAGTCGTTGAGAGGAAGAACAGAACTGTCCTCAACATGGCAAGAAGCATGATGAAGAGCAAGAACCTGCTGAAAGAGCTATGGGCTGAAGCTGTTGATTGTGCACTCTACCTGCTAAACAGGTCACCAACAAAGAGTGTTTGGAATCAAACACCCCAAGAAGCTTGGAGCGGAAGGAAACCCACAATCTCTCACCTCCGAGTCTTTGGAAGTGTTGGATATGTGCACGTACCGGATCAAGAAAGAAAGAAGTTTGATGAGAAAAGCAAGAAATACATATTCCTGGGATACTCAGAACACTCAAAAGGTTACAAGATGTTTGATCCCGTGGAAGAGAAGCTGATCATCAGCAGAGACGTGGTGGTTGATGAAAAATCAACATGGGACCGGACTGCGGAAGCAAAGAAGAATTATACTTTTTATCCATTCACTATGGATGAAAGTGATGATGAATCAGACACAGCTACACCTGTGACAAGTCCACCCAGTCACAGAGAGCCTGCTAGCCCAGAAGGAGAATCAAGTGAAAGTCCCCGAGAAAGGCCACAAAAGTACAGAAGACTTGAAGAAATTTATGAGGAAACGACAACCATTGAAGGTGATGAATTGACACTCTACTGTCATTTCATTGATGATGAACCAGTGGATGCTAAAGAAGCCATGAAAGATGAAAAATGGAGAAAAGCCATGGATGAAGAAATTGGAGCAATTGAGAAGAACAAGACTTGGGAGCTTATGTCACTTCCTGAGAATCAGAAACCCATCGGTGTGAAATGGGTATTCAAGGCCAAGAAAAATGCTAAAGGAGAAGTCGTCAGACACAAAGCAAGATTGGTGGCAAAAGGATACAGTCAGAGACCAGGCATTGACTATAATGAAGTATTTGCTCCTGTAGCGAGAATGGAGAGTATAAGGATGGTAATATCACTCGCTGCTCAAAATGGATGGAAGTTACATCAGATGGATGTGAAGTCAGCTTTTCTGAATGGATATCTCGAGGAAGACATCTATATTGAGCAACCCCCTGAATATATCGTCGAAGGCCAAGAAGATAAGGTGTTGAAGCTGAAAAAGGCATTGTATGGTCTGAAACAAGCACCAAGAGCGTGGAATAGCAGGATTGACAAGTATTTTCAGCAGAATGGGTTCAGCAAATGCCCACATGAGCATGCACTATACTACTAGGTGCAAGGGGGAGCAATCTTGTTGGTTTGCCTATATGTAGATGATCTCATCTTCACAGGCAACGATCCTCAAATGTTTGAAGAGTTCAAGAAGACGATGGTTCGTGAGTTTGAGATGACGGACATCGGGCTGATGTCATACTATCTCGGAATTGAAGTAAGTCAAAAGGAGGAAGGAATTTTCATCTCATAGAGTGGCTTCGCAAAGGAGGTCCTGAAGAAGTTTAAGATGGAGAGTTGTAATCCTGTGAGCACACCAGCAGAGTGCGGATTAAAGTTATCCAAGGATGATAAAGGAGAGAAGGTAAACTCAACGGAGTTTAGAAGTCTCGTGGGAATTCTGAGATATCTGACTTGTACAAGACCAGATATTGTCTACACAGTTGGATTGGTCAGCAGATACATGGAGGCGCCAACTATGTCACACTGGAACGCTGCCAAGAGGATACTGCGCTACATAAAAGGTACAATCGATCATGGTTTGCTTTATACTAAGTCAGAAAATTTTAAATTGGTTGGATGCTGCGATAGTGATTGGGCAAGAGACGTGGATGATCGTAAGAGCACTACAGGATTTGTATTTTTTTATGGGAGATACAGCTTTCACATGGAGTTCAAAGAAGCAAGCTATAGTGACATTATCAACTTGTGAAGCTGAGTATGTTGTTGTGACATCGTGTGCGTGTCATGCAATATGGCTGAGAAAGTTACTGAAGGAGTTGAATATGACACAAGAAGAGTCAACTGAGATTTATGTTGATAACAAGTCTGCCCTGGCGTTAGCAAAGAATCCGGTGTTTCATGATCGCGGTAAGCATATTGATACAAGATATCATTTCTTGAGAGAATGCGTGGAGCAGAAAGAAGTGACGCTGAAGTATGTGAAGACTGAAGACCAGATTGCTGATATTTTCACGAAGCCGCTCAAGCAAGGCGTGTTCGTCAAACTGAGGACGCTACTCGGAGCTACTATTAATTAAACTTTAAGGGGGAGTGTTGAAAATAAAGTTTAATAATAATAACCAATCAAAATATCAGAAATTCCTAGAAGCTAGGAATACGTGGATGGTAGTGTGTTTGGTTATGGAAGTTTGTAGAAAATAATTAATGTGTGTAGTTGGGTAGTTGTATGATTATGGATTAAACAAAGCAAAAAAAAAAAAAAACAAGAACCATATGTTTAGGTCGGTTGTGTTTGGGAGAAGGCCTATAAATAGGCTAAGCTTGTACGTTGGTGATGCAGAGCTAAAAGAGAGAAAGAAGCAAATAAAAAAAAAAATTTCCATTCCCTTCTCTAATCCAAGTCCTCTGCCAATCCACTTCTCCCAAAACAAAATAAAACCCTTCCCATTTCAAAGCTCAATAAACGAGCTAACCCGACCAAAAGCCCACCTTTAGCTTTTCAAATCAAAAGGAAATAAATCATTTTATTTCCAACAATATGCATTATCTATATGTAAATTGTACAAACATAAGCATGTATAGAAACGAACCATAAAAATTCAAGCGCATAATTTTACATGGTTGGGGAAGGTTAAGTAGCCCATAGCAATAATGTTGCTCATAGAGACAACAAAAAAATAATGGAAAAAGTTAACTCATTCGTTGAACAATCAACAATGTACTGGATTGGCTTGACATGAAGCAATGAATTCAAACTAAGCAGCTGGAAACGATCTACGTCGGACTTAAAGTATAACTGTATAACTTACCCTATATATATATTTCATACAGAACAGACAGAAATTGAAAAGCTCAAGAACATCCGATTGAACTTCAACATATTAACCATCTTTGGCGCATTCAACCCATGGAAAAACATGGATCTGCTGAGCTCGCCTCGAATCTCAATCCACAAATCTGCAACACTGATGGTTCTCAACAGCAACAAAAATAATTAATGGGCCATAAAAGAGCTAATATTGGGCAAAAGCAGAAGAGATAAGAGAACTCAACTGAGTTTAAGAGCGTGGAATCCTCCGCAATGAGTTCCATCCGCAACAGATCTCGTTGCCATATGCTGCAGTCCCCTCCATCCACCGTGGATGACGTATATTGCACCGCATCACTACATCTATGAACTAAGTGGAAAAACTGAGAATAAAAGATAATATGTTTTACTTCAAGGTTTATCCAAAATAAAGCTATCACAAGTGGGGCGGATCTGAAAAACAACTTTATCAAGAACGTCCCTACTCCTGATATCAAGGTGAAAATAAACAATCCAGCCAAACAAACGGTCTCAGTTTAAAATAAAGAACTGGACATGGAAGAGCATAGACTGAAAAAACATTGCGTTATAAAGTTCAGATATGTTTGTTCCCTTTCGAGCAAAATCCATTTGCAAAACCAATTAATTACTGTCACAAAGCAGAGCTAGCCAACAAATCGAAAAAATCTCTCATAAAACGAAAACACAAACAAAACAAAAGGAAGATTAAGAAGTAAATCTCAGTGGAGATTCAATGACCACCTGATATCCCATATTTGCATCGCTTAATGTCCAAAAAGATGGAGAACAACCCTTCAAGAAAAATCACCTACGTGGACATGCACTTATCCAAAACTTCCCAAGGCCAATGAAATCCTCTAGTTCGTCACGCCATGCTCTGCTCATCTTCGGCAGGGAACATATCAGAAAGAGAAAAATTAAGGGAGGAAGAAGGAAAAAAGAGAAACAGAGCCATTAAGGGAAAGAAAAACAACCATCAAAGAAGAGAGAGGATAACCTGTAAATCTAGACTTAGGAGCTATTGTTGATAGTGATTCTTCTGGTTCCAAGCAAGATCGAGAGCGATTGACCCTGCCACGTTGTACAGTAAAAGTAGTCTGTGTGTACAGTACACGGGCATGTAGTGGGCTTTCTTCTTTCAATATAAGCAATATATGATACACAATTTCTTTAATGAAATTATAAATGATATATATTTGCTCATACTGAAAGTCTTGAACATGATATGAGTTGATATATATAACTTAACAAACGTATTAATTATCAACAAACCAGATTGGTTCTCTCATAAGTCGGCAGTCCAGTTGTCCCGCTAGCTACAATGTTGAGACATATATCATAAGTTCAAAACGAGCCAGCTCACATGTTGAGCTCAACAAGCCACCAAAACGAGCTGGCTTGCGAGCTTGCCAAGCTTAACAATTCTTAGTTCAACCTTGGCTCGTTAGTAAAGGAATCGAATTTCGAACAAGATTTTTTCGAGCCGAAGATCAAGTCGCTCGTGAACAAGAACAACTCAACTCATTCGCAGATCACAAACCTACTGATAACGACCCCTAGACATGATCTGCAGTGTACTTATGATATATTATAATTGAATGACACATAATTGTAACGTGATTCGGGCCTAATTGTACATGTTTTGCCCCCATTTTACTTAGATGTTTGTGCCAAATTCACTAAAAAAATGTTGGTTTTACGCTAGGTTCCCCCGTGTTTTAGTGTGTTTTAGGATTTGACAGGTGAAACCAGCGTCGGAGTCGAAAGATTGGCGAAAAGGATAAAAAACCATGAGAAGAGGTGAAAAAGGGCCAGTTCACGGCGAACCAAGGAAGTTCACGGTCTTGCATGACCATGAAGAAGTGCCATGGACATTGAATTGCGAGGCGTCCAGAGCCAAAGTGGAGGTTACTGACGCAGGTGAGTTCACGGTCTCTAAGACCGTGAACGAGGGCAGTTGACCATGAACAGTAGTGAATAATGCGGCGCGTTTTGGTGCACGCCTAAAGTTCACGGACACGTTTCATGGTTCACAACCGTGAACTCAACTTGTCTCGGGTTTAAATGATGAGCTGAAAGGAGGAGAGAGGGAGGGAGCCCATTGTGTATGAAAGGCCTTCTTCTACATTCTAGAGAGAGAAACACGAACCAAGGGGAGAAGAAGGTTAGAGTTTAGCTTCAATGCAGATTTTGGGAAGATTTCCTTCAAGGAAAGCTCAACTCAAGGGCCAAGAAGACTGTGAGTTTCCTCCAAGATGGTTTCCATCTCTTTCCCTTTTGTTTTTCCCACTTCTAGCATGGAGTAGACCTCCTTTCACTTGGGTGTTGTGAAACCCTAACTCTACAATGTAGTTTTCTTTCATGTGTTTTGGATGATTGTCATTGGGAATTGTTTAATTCAATGAATGAGGCATTATTCATCATGATTGAGCATGCTTGTGCTTAGCAACCTAGGGGTTGTGCATGTTTTGTGCTTAGCATCCTTAGGTTTGTGTATTTAGGTGCTTAGCAACCTAAGGATTATGCATAATTGTGCTTAGCACCCTTAAATTTGTGCATGTTGGTGCAAGCAATATATCGGCGACAACGGTCTATTATTCTGAAAAGTTGCTGGTTTTTAATCTAGCTTTTAATTTTCAGTTTTGCAAGTGTGTGTCCTTTGCTTGTGCTAGACTTGGTGTGTTTTCCGATTGTGTGTAGGTGGTGCATGACCCGGAGCAACCCGACACCTTTGCTACCGCTTGACGAGGACATAAATCGAGCTCTCCGAATCCTAGCACGGGAGAGAGAGAGCTAGCTGAGGCAAGGAGAAGAAGTGAAAGAGGGTGGCAACGTTTCGGTCTCGGTGTTAGTGGAGAAGTAGTTGAAGAAGAGGAAGTTGAACCCGTCATTGCAGTGGAAATGGCGGGGAACCAAAGGCAAGATGGAGCCGCTCAAGCCCGTCAGTTGAACGATCCGGCGGAGGAAGAGGATGCCCCGAGGACGATGGGGTACTATATGGCCCCAAGACCGGTGGACATTCAATCACCAAATCTACATCCTCCAGTGGCGGCAAACAATTTCGAGATCAAGCCAGCTCTAGTGACTATGATACAAAGTAATGCTCTATTCCACGGCCTTGAGAGCGAGTCACCAAGAGAGCACGTGCATAGATTCTTGGAGCTCGCGGAGAGTTTGAAAATTAATGTTGTGTCGGCCGAAACTTTGCAACTAAGGCTTTTCATTTACTCACTCTCGGGGAAATCATTTAGGTGGCTAAAGTCTAAACAACCGCCCACCTTGGTCAATCACCTCATGGGACGACCTCCTCAACAAGTTTATGGCTCGTTACTGCCCGCCTTCGAAGACGGCGGAGTGGAGAAAGAAGATTACACATTTCGAGCAAGAAGAGGACGAGACCTTGAGGGATGTTTGGGAGAGGTACTCCGATTACTTTCTTCAGTGCCCTCACCACGGGTTTGAAGAACAGTTTCGGATTGAAACCTTCTATGGAGGCCTAATGCAAGAAGATAAAATCCTCATTGAATCCTTGTGTCAAGGGAAATTGATGAACATGGCTCCACCCCAAATAACCGAGATACTTGAAGACATGGCCCTTAGGGGATACGATTGGGGGTTGACTAGAAGTGGAAGAAGAGGCAATGATAGGGGAGTGAGAAGCGTAGGAGCAAGTGCTCCGCTTGAGGAGAAGTTGGATAAGTTCCTTGAGGTTATGCTTGAAGATAAGAGGCAAGGAAAAAGGCCGTTGATGTCGTGTGACTGGT